CTGTTTTCTACTTCCTTTATTATATACAGGTAGTGTTCAGGTATATCTGTTTCTGGATGGAGTGTGGCTTATTAAACACCACCTGTTTAAGGCACAATAGGGAAAGATGATCTCAGGGTAACTGATTTGAATGTATAGTACTAGTTTAGAAGATGTGACAGGATGCTGCGCATTTGAGGTATAAGTAGATTGAGAGTCAGTCATATGGGAGCGGACAGCTCGGTTTGTTCAAGCATAATAAACTGTGACATGCACTGTGTGTGTGTGTGTGTGTGTGTGTGTGTGTGTGTGTGTGTGTGTGTGTGTGTGTGTGTGTGTGTGTGTGTGTGTGTGTGCGCTTCCAAATGCATTTTGCTAGTCCATCAGGTAAATTGTTACTGTTATTTACATTTTGTTGGTACACACTGTTCACAAAAGAATGTCCCAGAAACCCAGAAAACAACAAACAAACACACACACACACACACACACACACACACACACACACACACACACACACACACACACACACACACACACACACACACACACACACACAAACTCCCTCTCACAAACACACACACACACACACACACACACACACACACACACACACACACACACACACACACACACACACACACACACACAAACACACAATTTTATGTTAACAAACAATAATTTCAAAAGGGTCCCTGGGTAGGTGCCCCACCACCATTATCTTTTGATTACAGTAACTATTAGCACTACCCTTAACCTAATTATCCACACAAATTCAAAGAAGGGGGAGCTCAGAATTACTCAGGAATGCTCAGTGAATATAAGCACCCAGAGGAAAGGCGAGAACAGTAATTTTGCAAGTAGAGGACTGAACTTTTATGGTCGGGAAGAATCTTAATTATAGGTCACAGAGCTATCCACACAGCCTTGTGTTTTATTCACGCCCATGCTTTAAAAATAGTGTGATGTGGAAAGGAAGGTTTGTATTCTGCCAGCTGTCAAGAACCAAAAAAAATCTCACTGTGTTTCAGTAAAATCAAGTAACCTTCACCGACAACAAATGTGCCCATTCATCTGTCACTGGAGAAAAATCTCAGTGTGACACTTTCTTGATTTTCTCATTTCTTTGAGAGACTTGTTGATGGTCACAAATCTGGATTGATCTGTCACAGAACACTTCAATGAATGCTGCCTTCACATGGTATTGGGAATGTACAAAATGAAAAAACAAAGATCAAAGTTAAGGATACTCTATCAAGTATTATCGGCTTATTAACAAAACAATAATTTATTGTTACTTGATGCTCTATGAAATGCTGTTTTAAAAAAATACTTATATATAACCAAAGTTACATTTTGATCAAAAATTATTTAAGTTAACACTTCAGCCACACCTAATCAGCTGCTTAACCTACTTATACCTGGTCACCACATGTCGTTTTTCTCAGAACCTGAGATCAAACTATCCAGGTCCTCAGTCGCCTATCATCCCATATCGCTACAACATCCACAGTGTCTGGCATCTCAGTCAAATCAATACTAACTCAGCTAAATTGAAAACGGACTCCTTTTGGAGGCTTATATTCAGATTGGGACCCCCACATTAAGTCTCGATCTGCCTGGACTTCAGTTCGTCCCCCAGACCAGCCTGACAGATGACATCCCCCATCTTTCTTCATCCCTTCCCCTTACATTACATTAAATATTTAACTGACATATTGTTGTTACTTGGTCCTTGCTTTTCTCAGTGGGCATCATTTGATGTTACTTTTCCATTATTTAAGAACTACATGAAGCCATTACTGTGGTCAGGACTGAGCTGAGTCACTTCTCAGGATCATTAAACTCTTAACTTCATTACAGACCTCAGAAAACCATTCCCTTCAGATTATGTATTTCATATCTGAGGAAAACCTGTGAAAGAGGTTCTTTTTTTTACTTTAATCCCAAATCTTCATTCCTTAGCAGAAAATCTTTGTTAAAGGTCCCATGTTTTGGCCATTTCTACTGATCATAATTCCATTGTTTAGGTTTACTAGAATAGATTTACATTGTTCAAAAATCACATTGGTTTCTCATACAGCATCTCTGTATGTGTATTCACTCTCTGTCCTACATGCCTTGTTGGAGCTCCTGCCCCCCCCCCTCCCAATGAGCCCACTGTGCTCTGATTGGTCAGCTCGCCCACTCTGTTCTGATTAGCCAACCACTGTTACAGCTGAACATCAGTGTTTATGTTTTACAATGGCATTTGTTAGCAACCAGAAAATGACAGCAGTAATGACAAATAGTTGAGAATGCTAAGTGGGGTCTGGGTGCCGTGTTGGCGGGACGTTGCGGGGCTCGCTGGTCCGCCCCTTGGGGCTCGAGGAGCGGACAGTGTGAGGTGGATTACTGGTGGCATTTCCTGGTTGCTGCTTGGGGTCTGCGTCAGAGTCCTGCACGGGTCTGATTTTCAAGACCCGCTCCCGCCCCCGCGACGTGCAATACCGAACCCGCCCCGCTACCCGCACATATTACCAATTAGTTCCGCAACCCGACCCGACCCGTCGGCACAGGATCCGCAACCCGACCCGAACCCGCATATATATGAGCAGTGAAAACGTGCAATTATTAACACATGCAGTTGCATATTTGTCTCAAAAAGCGTGGGATGTTGGTTATTTTCTCCATCTAGGATGACACCAAAAGCCTCCCAGACGTTGGATTTCCCTCTTGAGGAAGTGTTATTGAAAATGCTGTATTCTCCGCTAGAGAGCTTCACCTCAGCCATTTCGAATGTGGCACGCTCAGAAGCAGATTGATGCGCTGCAGAGGTTATGATTATGTGCGGTCCCGCGGGGGAGAGGTCTGAGGATTTAAACATTGAACAAAAAATTATTATTATTTAAATATATTCATTATGCAACACCCGCAACCCGACCCGCATCATCTTTGTTTTACCCAGAACCGAACCCGGAAAAAAGCGTTTGAAAAAATACCACCCGCGAATCACCTTTTTTGCGGGTCGCCCGTCGGGTACCGCGTGTACCCGACCCGATGCGGGACTCTGGCGGCATCTTCCATGTAAAGTTAGCGTCAACCCTCATGGGGTGAAAACAGTATTTCCAGTCTACATGGCACTTAGTCTATATCCAGCATCCAGGGAAACACAGCGGGAAATTCACCTCATACTGTCCGCTCCGGGAGCCTCGCGGGGCGGACTCGTGAGCTCCGTAATGTCCCGCTAACATATCCAGCATCCAGGAAAACACAGCGGGGAATCCACCTCACACTGTCCCCCCGAGAGCCTCGCTGGGCGGACTCCTGAGCTGCTCGGGAGTCCACCCTGGCAGAGGGTGTGCCTATTGTTCTATAGCTGTGTGCCAATTGGTCCATTTGGACTTAGTGACGTCAATAGGCCCCGAAAGAAAAAAATGGAAAAAGAAAAATCTACAACGAGGAGTTCTGGGGCAGCTAGACACGTATTTTCTGTGTTACGCAGCGTCCACACGGCAGCGTGCGTTGAAGCTTGCCGGCGGGCGCGTCTGAAACTCGACCAATAACCAATCACATGAATCTCCCGCCCCGGACACACAAGCACGCGGTTTGATTGGCTAGAGCTTGTACTGGCATATGATTTGATTGGCTGACGCTTCCGCCGAAGCTTCAAAAGTTGAACATTGCTCAACTTTTGAAGCGAGCAACGCGAGCAAACCGAAGCAACGCTCCCAAAATGCAGTTCGGCAAAGCGTGATGTCACCCCATTCAAAGTGAATGGGCAGAAGTCGTTGAAGCTTCAACGCACACCGCCGTGTGGACGGACCAGAGTTTCACTCGCTACAGGGTGTACTTTGAGGGTTTGTGACTTTGCAGACCGTTTACATGCAGAAAAAGCTATACACAAGGGGACGGGTAATAACCAGAAAAGCATATGATGGGACCTTTAAACACAAACAGGAAATAAAGGGGTAAAACACAAATAATGTGTAATTCAGTTGAAATAGTGAGCCAGCATGAAAAATATTTCTGCCATTACTACATTTGATGTTGTCATTAATAGTGTAAATTCCTTGTAGTTGAATATATGGTTTATTTGTACAAATATCAACTAGTAAGTAGGCTACTGTAAGCATCACATATTTACAGACCCAGTACACCTAAACAGTTTTTCACTTTCAGTTAGACTTCCAAGTACTTGTAGTTGTCTTGATAATTTAAGTGAACAATGTAAATAAAGTATGACTTTAGTAAACACTAGTAAAATACCTTACAAAAACTAAGACAACCTCAAGATATGGGCGAAAAAGTGTTGGTAAGTTGCTCCCTGTGGCTTCTCTGAGTGCAAGCACAGTTTCCAACTGAACATGTTTCTAACTTGAATACACCAAGGTTACATCATAAAAACTCTCTACTGTGGGCATACTGTGGTATCACTGTCAGTGACATACACTGTCTGTGAGCCCTAACTGGCCTTTTCACAGCAGACGGTTGTCTTGACAAAACACAGTTTTGAGTTATTTACAACATTAACGATCCAAATCCAGGGACTACTGGCATTTATTCTAACTGAATAGAGTCATCGTTAATTAATGCAATTAGTTACAGCTGTGTCTTTCCCGCCATGACAACACAGAGTATCTGGTGTGATGAAACCTTTATCTTTTGAGGGTGATTATGGTAGGCCTATGTTTGTTTAGCAGTATTAAACCATGCGGTGAGTTAAAATGTATAGCTACTTGATATAGGCTATTGACCAATATATCAATCAAAAATAATGACGTAGGCCTAGGCCATTCTTTTAACACAAATGACAGACATTTGCTGGCAACAGCTTATCAATTATAAATCTGTTCTGCTTTGTTTTATATCATTAGCTTACACAATCAGGCTTATTTAGGTTTTAAAAATATATATATATATCTAATCAACGAAGCAATTCATTGGCAAAGTCATCTTTAATGAGAATAATCCTGACGTCGAACTTCTCAAATCCTGGCTGTAGCCCCATTATAGTTATATCTGTATAAATTGCAGAGCCGAACACAACTCTAGTGTTGAGGTTTAATACAGGAACCGCTAAAGCCATACATTAATTAAATTGTGTGATGTTAGCTCGCGCTGCCTCAGTGAGCTCTTCCCGCCAGCAGAGCGCGTCGCTGCGCCTCGTACAGAAAACCTGAAGCCTCCGAGCAGAGCACACTCCCCGTTTTCCGTGAAACTGAGAAAAGGGAAAAGCCTTGTTGTGTTTAGTTTTTTTTTAGCACTGTCAGAAAGCTCATGCACTGCGAGCTTCCTCCACCTTCCACACTGCTCACAGGACTCTCCCAGGATGCTGTCGAACAACCCTCACATCGGGCACAAAGTGGCAGGCTGTTTGATTTTCCTCTCCGTCTGTAAGTAGGAGTCACTTTACTTTCTAATCTTCATGTCAGTGGGCTCGGACCACACAGCTGTGAGGGACGTACTGACACCCTCCACAGTAAACAGTGTGTGTTGTTTGCAAAGGTGAAGCTATGTTTGGGAAGAAACGACAGTGTAGCGTTTTACGATCTTTGAGTAACTGTTTGTGAAGTGCGGAGCCATGATTCGCCTCAACTTCCTGAGGAGTTGAAAGGCGATGTGCACGCCATGTGGGTTTACTAACTGCAAGTTTATACCGGAGTTAATCACAGGAAAAGGTTGGAAAATCTCCTCCTTTTGGAATCACATTTGTGTTTAAAATGTGTTCACGATTGAAAACAGTGAAGTAGCTTCTTCCTGTCATATCCACGGTGCACGAGTGGTAGGCAAGCCCGAGCAAACATGCCCCTAAAGCCCCAGCTACTGTCAGCCTTACCAAGTCAGATTTCTCCCTGTCAGTCTGGATGTATTGTGTACAATGCATTTAGCAACTAAGTAGAAGAGTGAACGACGTGCACTAATTTATTCCTCTGCTGCCAGCATACCCACAGTGCTTAGAGACTACTAAAAAAACGCAATTATGCTTAATTTTAAATAAAATATTTACAAGTAATTCTCGACTTGTGCTTGATCATATGTTTACTTACATTCCATGGAAGTGATTGCTTGATTAGAAATAGTTAATGGCTTGAATGTCAAATATTTCAGGTGATTTTATTTGACCATTTATAATAGAAATATATGCAGTTTGTCCCTGCACATGTTCTGCTATACAGTATCTAATGTATTCAGTGATGTGTCATGTCCATTAGGTTGGGTGCAGCAGCACACAATGAGTGGCTGCAGCTGTGGAGAGAATTACAGTCAGTGACCAATATTGCATTGGCCTTGTGTACTATGGCCGTCCTCCTGGAATGTGGTGATAAATGCTGAGCGCAGGAGACTCTCTGCCTTGATGGGACTGAACATTTTCGCCGTTATAAGAAATGCCAGAAAACACAAGGATCTGCTAATATGTTGTTACTGCAGGAAAAGTGCTACATCTGTCTGGGTCAATAACTTAGGAAATAATGTATGCTTGTGTGTTGAAGACTACAAACAGAGCTAACAGTTTTCAAGGATGGTATTATGGAATCTTAACGCTGCAAGAATTATCTTCAGGTAACAGTGATTTATTAATAATTTAATTCAATCTATAATATTCAGTTTGAAATATACACTTTGCCACCCTAATGCATTGTTCTTCTGACTACTTTTCACCTTATTCACTCATGCTAGACAATTAACTGACATCATTCAGTTTTGCCACATTGACTTTTTTTAGGAAGCACATATCAAATATAATTTATGACATGTTTTACCCTCAATTTCTGGTTAGGGGTCATATAAGGCTTATTTCACTAGTTTATTAGCTTGAATGGGTGAATATTCGATATTAGCAATCCTGAAAATGCCCAAAAACCTGTACTTCAGAGATATTATTAAGGCCTGTTGATATGTCAAAAATAGAGTAGTCTAGTCTGGGCAGTGTGGGAAGCCAGAGTCATTCTTGAAACCACTGTTATCCTGTGCACAAGTGAAAGCTGTGTGTGGCACAGAGTTGAGCATGTTTAGTTGGGCAGCTGACTCTGACAGGGCTGCTCTTCTGCTCCCCCTGTATGTAATATTCATGGACCTAACACCAAGGAGCATCCCAGGTCCAATTTGATGACATTATGGTGCCACCTCTGCTGTTTTTCGATGATGTGGTCCACGAGACATCAACAGACTGTCATTTCTGATGTGCATTGGAGCCATGTGAGTCCGATGCAGTCGGCATGAGGAGCAGCAACCTCCAAGTTGGATGATCCAGCATTCCAGACAGGCCGTATTGCAATTTTGGCAGTTGTGCTAAATCCACAAAGTCTGAATGTGATTGTTGATGTAGGTATACTACTACAATGATGTGTGGTATTTTGGAAAGAGAGAGTACTGAACCAAAATCTGGATTCCATTTTTAGGCTGATTGTTCTGTTTATAATATGGGAACCAACCTCTCATTGGTTAGTGCTGCATTGTCAACTTAGTTTAAGGTTCAATATCTTGAATATCTTATATTTAAGCTTTCACTCAAAATGTTCTTAAGTATTGTAAGGTTATTGTAGATGATGATGGTTAGAAGATAACTTCATTACAGTGAAAAGCTCACAAACAACCTTAAGTTGACAGCCAGCTGTTGTCACACGTTTTTTAAGTGATTGGAGGACTGACATTGCAGACACGAGTAGCCGCATTGAGTCTTCTCAGCATGCTGGGTGAGAGGTCTGTGATTCAAGAGGTTTTCAAGGTCCAGCTGCTGCTGTGGCTCCTGTAAACTGAAAAGCCCCTGCTGAAGTGGATCGGCAGCCATTAGAGATGCCATCCACAGGCAAAACTCTTTTGGGATGCAGCGTCAGTGTTTCCCCTTGTCTTGGAGGGGTGCCCCGCCAACGGAGCCCCGCGCCCCCCCTGAAATTCTTGGTCCTTAAAAAAAAAAATTAAATGTTTGTGTATATCTGTATATATATATATATATATATATATATAGCACCAAATTGCAACTAATCTATATCTACTGTCACTTTTCACATTGAACATGTGCTCTTTTATTAAATAAACTAAACGCTTTCATTTTAAGTTGTGAGTTTAGTGTTTTTGACCCTAAGAAACACTGATGCATTAATCAATAACAATAATCCACAGCTCCTCTCTCTTCCCCAGAGGATTCCCAATATCCCAATGCCACTCAGGCAGCACCCCCCCAAAGCAGTAAACCTAGGGGAAACACTGAGCATATTCTGAAAAGATAACTGTCTATTATTCGTTTAGAAGTGCTTGTGGGCCTTCACAAAAAAAAGTATGTTAACTGTATCAAGATAAAGATGATATTAAGATAATTCCAACCAGCAGCAAAACTGGGTTAAGATTTGCCTGTAAAACTTCTAATTGGCTGCTTCAGTGCCTGAGTGGAAATACAAAGTTTTGATTAAATATGACACAATGCCAGATGAAGCCTGTTCTTCTTGCATACCTAACATCAAATCAGATGCATTATTACAATTGTATGTGCAGTGCATACTGTGTGCCATCTGTGCCACTTCTTTGAGGAGCTACTTTTATTATAATCAGTTGGCTGCGTCTTTCACGGCAAAATGTTTATCATTGAAATATTAATAGAAATAATTTTGTGATTCACTTTAAAGTATTTTTGCCAACAAGGCTAAATCAATCAATGTTTATTTATATAGCCCATCAAAAATGTTACATTTGTCTCAGTGGTCTTCACAGTTTGTACAGAATATCAGTATGACAATACGACACCCTCTGTCCTTAGACCCTCACATCGTACAAGAAAAAACTTCCAGAGAAAACCCACAGTTTAAAGGGAAAAATGGGAGAAACCTCGGGGAGAGCAACAGAGGAGGGATCCCTCTCCCAGGACGGACAGACGTGCAATAGATGCCGTGTGTAAATCGAAAAGATAATACATTTACAACATAGGTAGACCAAATGTTTGGAAAGACCAAATGTTTGGAAGTGCATGTGTCTATAATAAGAAGATGAATCCACGAGGATGTCAACAATCCTGTGGGGGCCATCAGGGAAGTAGTATGATGAGTCAGGCAGGACCACAGTGATAGGTTCAGCCACGACTCGAAGTCTAGGACGGAGGATAGAGGATCCAGGAGACAGGATCCAGCACTCAGGACTCAGGATCCAGGACTCTGGATGCAGGATCCAGGACACATGACTCAGGATCCAGGACACGGGACACAGGACCGCAGCAACAGGATCAAATGGGTTTAATCTGCAAAGGTGTCCTATCATGCAAAATGCACTGATGTCTTTTTATACATAAATATGTGTCCCCGGTGTGTCAGGGAACACACAAAGTGTCAGAAAATAAAACCCTCTCTCTTTCCTCCGTACTCAAATCTCTAAAAACGGGGGTACAACAGAGCTGAACCAGATTTACGTCCGATATGACGTAATATCGGAAATGTGGACCCACGGCCCGATCAGAAAGTTGCTGTCAGAATCAATGCCCGACGTGTTTTGGAAGTAATATATGGTCTTTGTTTACATTAGCAAGCATCAGAGCTAAGCTGTAATGGAGAGAAAAAAAGCAGGAAATAAAGAAGGAACTCTCCTTGTGATAAACCCGCAAGAGAAAAAGCTTTTGAGCTCCATACTGTTTCAGAAATAATCCTTGAAGTGGTTTGGAACATGATATGGAAGCATTTAGCTGTATCTGCCAGTAGAAATCTATCTCTTCCCTCTGCAGCTCACAGTGTGCCTGTGTGCTCAAAAGGGGGCGGGGCAAGCATCTACTGACTGACGATCAGCACTTCTCTAACAGGGCTGAAATAGAGGGATATGAGGGATGTCTAAAATGCATTATCTGTTTGGTATTTTGAGCATAATAAATCAGACATGTTTTTAATATATTTTTATATATATGAGACCCATAATATGTGCCTAAAAATAGCACAATAGGAGATCTTTAAGCAATGTTTGATTAATAGGGACACAGCTGAATCTTTCATTAAGATGTTTTTTTTACACTGAACACAAAGCACATGTTAAATAAGCAAACAGACATGATTTTTTCTACAGGCAACAGAAATTGACAGGTCTGCATGAGTTCAAACAAGTTTCTTATTGAGTTATGTGACTCTATTCCTCGTATGTTAAACTGATAGGGGTCTTAAAAGAAGGAATTCTGACTTTTGATACGTTTTTAAAATCACTCTTAGTCTGGTCCATCACACTTTCTGAGGCATGAACCATATTGCCTGACAAGAGTTTCCATATAGAGCGATTCTGCTAACCCAGAATAGGTTCATTGACATTAATTGATGTCCTTTTTTCATTTAACCCGCAGGTTTTGAAAACTCTTGCTTTCTGCAATATCTGTGCTCAGTTAAAAGGTCAAGGTTTAGAAAAGTCAATCAACATGGTTGTCATAGAAAGGCAAACCTAAATTGTGCCGTGTAGCGAACACCCATCTCCTGCATCAGTCCTTATTGCTACACTTGCATACTTGACACACACCTCGCTACATTTGAAGCAATGCATGCATTGGCACAGAAACATTGGCATTGAAATCATAGAAGCATCCAGTATGGTTGTAATACTTGCGTATACCAATTTCAGTGCTGAGACACGGACCGTTAGCTAACAGCTAGATTCGGCATTCAACACCCGTGTTGTGTTGACTGTGGACTCCAAAACACTGCAGTCATACATTTTGCATGAATAAAGCAAGATGAAAGTTAACTGTGTTACATTTGAACACGCCTTAATGGCAGAAACAAGGTGACATGAGAATCCCATTTGAATCTTCTTCGTCACCACCAGTAGTAGTTCAATATTCTCTCTTTGTATGGCCCTCCACCTGGGGAAGTTAGTGCTTTGGCCTGCATTGTCACTATCAACATTGAGAAGCTAACATGATTTTAGATTTTATTGTCTTTGCCAGATGAAGGCTTTTCACTATTCTCTGCTCTTCGGGGGCTTTTTAGGTTTAAGTTGTCTCATTTTGCCTTTAACACACACATATGGGCATGAGGATTATCAGAGCCCCTTTTTAAAGCTGACACTCACTGCTAATTAGCACTGAAGTAACTATAGCACCTGGATAGCTGCCTTTGTTAATGTGAATTGTGTAGTGCACAATGTGTAGTTCCTCCAAAGTGCTTTCATGTTGTGTCCATTAATTCCCGCTCCTGCTGTACCCATTTAATCTTGAGTGATGTGAAAACTTTTGTCAGACTTCAAATCACTTTCAAAGTAGCAAATCATTTTTTAATTGCTCTGAATGAAGATTTTTTCAAGTAGTTTCTTAGAAGAAAATCTTTCAATTCTTATAAAGACAAATCGTAGTCCTGTGAAGTACACACTATACATATTTTCTCTGTACACCACCAACTTGATTCTCTCCCATGGTTACTGTATGTGCACTTTGTTTCCTGGCTAATTCCATCAGCCATCTGCTTTTATTACAAAGACAATATAAATTGAGATCTTGTTGAAAGGAATTCATCAAAACCACCCTGAGGTTTCAGCGTGTAAAGCGCTTTGCAGAGTTTGTAAAATCAAAGCAAGATAGTTCTCCTCGGTGCGGCTCATTTTGAAAACATGGTTGGAAACAACAGACTCAATTATGTAGGCTGGAGAGGCGATGAGATGGAGGTGCTCCGATCAGCAGTCCTGACATTATGTAGGGAGTTACTTTCCCACTCTTGCTCATTGTGTCTCAGCCTCTCCCTCTCCAGGGTAAGCTGTGAAAAGATGGGCAGAATGAGCAGAATGTATTGTGGACATATTCCTGTAGGAAGCTTCTTTTCACTTCCACACGTAGATGCCAGGTTACAATGTAGTCAATCTCATTATACAGAGGTGGGTTTTAAGAATCTGATGTTATGTTTGTACACTTGGCAGCAGGAAATCAGAGACATTATATTTGTATTGTTTAAGCCTGAGTTTGGTATAGCTGGCTTTTTTTTTGCTTTAAAAAAAAGAGGCGTTGTAATGCAAATCATTATATTTTCCCACATTAAATTGGTTTTTTTCAACATGCACATGCTTTACTTTTATTTAGAAGCCATAATGTTCTATCTTGAAGAGATCAAGGACACTTAAAATGAGCAGTAGATAAAAACAAAGTTAATTACTGTGAAAAACATCTGATTGGTGTTTGGAAGAACAGGAATTTGTCAGCATTTCGAGCTTGACTTTTCCTTCTTGACATTGGAGATGGCAGTGGACAATCGATGCTCAAGGTCTTGTTTTGTGTTCAGGGCCATTCATCCATATCAGGAGACAGTGTTATCAGTTGTAATGCAAATGTACAGGTTCCCCCTTTACATTATGATGATGTTTAACTTCCTATCCGTGTTGGGATATATTATTCTCTATATTAAACAATTGAATGATTGTAATTGTTTCAGCATCGTTTCAGCAGCTCTGATTGTGTTTTACAAACATACTCTAGTTAAACTATAAACTGCAATGTTCTTTTATATAAAAAATAAGCAGCTTTGGAAAGAAAATGTGTTTGAACATACGATTCTCTTTTTGAAATCTTAGTGTATCTTTCTGTGAAAATCTGTTTTAAAAAAAAAGGTGTAACTGTAATTACTACCTTCTTCATTTGGTTATTTTTACTGAGCAGACGTCTTCTCTTTGAAAAGAACATGCACCGAATAATCCTTTGGCATGGTTGGCCAAATTGGACTTTGTTATTTTTTTTTGTGCTTTCATGACATGAATAATTAGGTTCATTACACTGTGCGTTTGTTCTGAACTGATGGCTTTACTCCAGGCTTTACACACTGAAGTGTTTTGAAGTTCTATCAGCTCCTCTGAATAATTTAATAAGAGGGTTTTCTTGCTTTTTAAGCCAATTTACAGTAGCTGGTCAAAATTACACAGATTGTATCCTTTTTATGAAATATGTTCCTATTTTATATACTGTAGGACTTTTTGTGTGGACATTGGATATAATACTACTACAGGAATTTCTGCTGGATTGTTTCTAGATACCTTAGCTTTTAGTTTTAATCAACGCTCTCAGTGGCTGGCTAATGGCTGCCGCAGCAAGCCAGGAGGAGAGAGTGTAACTCTTTCTCAGGTCTATTACCTAGTTAAAGTCAGATTCAAAGCTGACTGATGTTGGAGTGCAAGCTGCCTGATTTGATGTAAACGGCTGTGTGAATTAATTCTCTGAGACATTGCTGTTTTTTTGATGTATTGATTTGAAATCCTGGGAATCTTTCTGAGAAGATTTTCCTCGTCTCAGAATCGATGGCAATTTAATTGGATAGAAGCTCTCAGGGCTCTAATTATAAACTTGAATAGATGAATGGTGCTCTCAACGATCCAACACATACTCCGCACGAAGGACTTAGGCTCTGAGTTATCTTTTTAATTGTAATTTTTTGTGTATTCCAACTATAATGGCCTATAGCAGTCTTTTGTTGTGTAGCCCTGCCTGTGTAAGGCAGCTTTTAGACAACCTTGATAAAAGAAGAGCCTGTTTATGGTTCAGTTTCAAAGGATTTGCACCTCTTTTATAACATTTTCTTAAAGAACAACAATTCTCTTTTCTTTTCTTGCAGTTCACATCAACTTTTCTGCTGGCAGCACCGGAAAGGGCTCACAGGTAAGAGAAAACATTGGACTCCTGTGATTCTTTATTTCCTGATTGCAGATCAGTCTGAACTCCTGTGATTTGGCTAGTTTCTTGGTAATTAGTGTTAATCATTCATCTGCTGGTCTCATCACCTCCATTAAAGCCTTAATTACCTGACCACCTTAAATAAACAATATTGCTGTTTTGAAAAAGGATTGTCTATTGTCCTCCAGATGAAGCCACAATGCAAATTATTTCGCTCTTTGATTCTGCATTATCTAATTCTGCAGTTGCTGCTCGATAAATAATTAACATGTTCAGTTGCTCTACTTCTCATTGGTGTGAGAAGATGTTGACAGTAAGTCTCCTGGCAGAGTTGCTTAGCATCACAGAAATGGGCAACTTATTATCTTTCCACTGATGGCAAGCGCTGTTATTCCCAGCTGAGGTAATTTCTTTTTTTTCTTTTTTTTGTCACTTTAAATTCTCATGTTTGTTTTTTTTTAATTTAAAGTGAAATTGAACAAAACGCTGCATAAAAAAATATTCTGTTAGATTTCATTATCAGTAGCACACAAAGGTATTGGTCTATAATCAGATTTAAACAGTTTGCTTACGTCTGTTCGATTCTGTAAGATAATTGTGACATGTTATCAGTATGCCTTTTGCTCAGTCAAAGCCCAGGCTCGCATAATATCAACATTGTTAGTTTTCTTTTCTCCTTTTGAATATTACTATTAGGGACAGCTGCCTGTCAAGAGTTATAAAGCAAATATGTAAATGACATCCATTCTGGAGAAGAAACCCATTAAAGAAATGAATATAGTTTTTGCAACAACGGAAATCAGGACCCGACACCAACACTGCTCCTAGGGCTGTGTATAGCTTCCCACTGCTTTTAATACTAGGATGGGTTGAATGCAGACTCTAAATTACACTGTGTGCTTTATACACGAGTGTCACAATTTAAAATTTGATTTTGATTCGAATCCTTCATTTCCAAGTAGAACCAAGCATAGAGCACAGAGGAGGCAGAGGAAGTGTAACAGGTTTATGGCTCGTGTCACTGTCGACAGAGATGTGTGGAGGAGAGGGGATGACCAGATACGACAGAGGGAAGAAGGGAATGGAGAGCTGCTAGACGGCACCGCAGGCAGTGAAAGCATGGGAGAGTTTGTCAGCAGGCCTTTTATTTAACACTTTCCATAATGTCTTTCAAGACTTTGCCCCAGGGAACTACCTTCAATTCCTAGTGTTGTGCATTGAAACATAGCGGCAACCTACGTTGATTTAAAAAGTGTGGTTTCTTGAATAGCCAATTGAGGCTGGCCTCCAAGAGAGTCAATCTACTAAGAACCTAATGTTAAAATGCCCAGCTTTACAGCAGAAATGCAGGTTTCAAATTGTTTACAGCCTTTTATCCAAAAACGGACCATGTTTCCTATAGCTTACCTGTTTAAATATTATTAAGGCTTACAGTTATACCTAATAAAAGTTGTGAATACTTTGAGTGATAGCTGGGCCCCTTTACTTGGCTTACTGCTCTGTCACCCGGGCCCATTATAATATCAATTGGACAGCACAGGAAATCAGAGGTATGCAAGCATAGGCTATATAATACAATTTATATTCATCCACAATGTCTTTCTTCTTTTCTTTGCTTAATTATGCTGTTTTGAATTGAAGTCCGTGATGGTTCAGGTCTCATGGTTTCAGGGGCGACATTGGTATCGGGACACATAGACAAGGTAGCAGAGGGAACACAGGAAGTTAAAAACACAAAGAGAAAAACAGTGGCAGACCCATGCCATGATTCACTTCGGTGGTTTGTCTCATTTACTCTTCCAGCATGCCCTGTATTTTTAATGAATTCACAATACAATTTTTAACATCGCTTTTTGACAGCAATCCCCCAGTTGGAGAGTAAGACCAAAATGTGTTTTACACTTCGTATCTGGTGTAGTCAGTATTATATTTAGTGTCTTTTCACAAAGCCCACCTGCAGTGAATACCTGGTTGTTGACCTGTTTTTGGTTCTCCTGAGCCATGAGAACAACATTAACAAATTAGAGAAGAATACAAATGTAGGTCATGAAAGCACTCGTGTTAGTTATAGAAAGTCATAGCAGTAGGCCGGGCAGACATTTACATACTCCTGAGAAATTAGCAGACTCTAAACTTTGCACAACATATTTATTATTTCAAAAGTAAACCAGTTCCTGAATGAGGCAATTCATTATTGCTCTTTCAACCGAAAATGATTGCCTTTCAAACAAAGGTGCAATGAACTGTATGTGGGACCTTTCTGTCAGTAATATATTTTAGTACAACAAATCTGATTATATATAACAACAAGTATCTTAATAGACTACCAGATCAAAAAGATAATATGTGTTTTGGACAAATCAAATATCAATTTTTTTTGGAAGGGGGCAGATATGTATTGGATTTGTTTCTCTGGAACTTGGGTGTCCAACACCTTTAGTCATTAAATTAAACAAGTTGTTTAGAAACATATACAGTTTTCAACTCACAGGACTGATAACAGACAGTGGCTGAATTTGCAATTTCTTTTTGTGTTTTTTTTCTTTTCTTTTATGGCAGAACATCAAGAAATAAGTGGATTGTGTATAGACAATCCACTAATATATAGAAAGTATTTACCTGGCTTCTGAGAAGATGACATTGTAGTATTGTATATATTTAACTAATTTGTTAGCACAGCATTTAGAAAACACAAATGTATCTCTTTTTAAGCACTGTTTGTGTAGAGCCTGTTTCACATAATGTTGTGCCATGGCATGCAGTGGTCAGCATTGAAGATCTGGCAATAACTTCAAACATCTGGGCTCATCCCATCACGAATAAAATCCGGCTAAATCTGCAGGTGCGTGTGCGTGTGTGTGTGTGGGGCTGATATCCGAATGCTAAGTAGCAACAACCAAACTAGCATAACACTTCCATCAACATGTTTTATAAAATTGATAAATAATATTTTAATGTGTTTCCGCATCCCGTGGCTGATGTTTGCTCCCTCACGGTGGGGGAAAAGATGATCCTCTTTTAAAGGTTGCAGGCAGGATATTTGAAAAGATGCTCTGCTTTGATCAGTATACTGTAGTTGCATCTAACGTTGCTACGAAAGGCATGTGATATGTAAAGCAGGAACTACGGTTGCAGCAGTAATTTTCTGTGGTTGTCTTTGAACACAGTCTGTGTCTTGCATAGAGACACGTTTAAAGTGGACCTATCATGCTATATTTGAAAAATATATTGTAGGGCCATACCTATATAAAACATGCCTGTGGTTTTTTTTCAAAATACCAAACAGATCATGCATTTTAGCCATGCCTCATTTTGCTCTATTTGCTCTATTCCAGCCCTGTTTTTGCAAGGGCTGGAATTCTGGATTCTGTGACGTAGCTTTAAAGCAGGACCACGCCCCCCTGCAGGAGAGGGAGATCAGCTGCTGGGCTCTCAGAAGAGGGGGAGGAAAATAGATCTCCGCCCTCCGTGTTTTATTCTTATATGATATATAGAGTCGTTATTCATTTGTTTTAAAGCTCAATAAATAACAAAGAAGAGCTTTGACCGGGACTTTTCTAATTTTGTCCGGAAGATTTCAACTTTAACGGATATGTTGACCGGCGAAAACAAATCTAACTGAAACTCTGCCACACGGTCCCCTCGTCCCTTGGAAGAGGCGGAGAAGTGGGTGTTTGTCGTCTGCTGGTGGACTAACCGGAGAGAATTACAGCGAGGGAGGGATTGCATTGAATTACAGCAGCAGGAGCAAACGCTTGCCTCGGGGAGGGAGAAAAAGAGCCAGAGCGTCCAAAGCGGAGAATAAACAGAAGGGCAACCATGGCAACCATGCGCGGGAAGTCTTCTTCGCTGCTTTTGTGGCAGGACTACAGCTCCGCTTTCGAGCGGCCTCTCATTCCCCTGATAGGTGGAGAGTTGCCCATATAGGCGGAGCACCCCTTTTCTGACGTCAGAAACATTCAAATCTGTATCAGCTCCGTTGCAGCCCCGTTTTTAGTATTTGGGTACGGAGGAAAAGAGAGAGGGTTGTATTTTCTGACACTTGGTGAGTTCCCTGGAACACCGGGGAAACATATTCATGTACAAAAGTGCATTTTGCATGATAGGTCCACTTTAAGTTCCTCCAACTCTCGCCCCCCTCCTCCTTTGAAGACGGCCTGAAGCCTCTGATGATTGGCATCAGTTTGAACTTAGAACGACTTGGATAAGTTAGCGAAGACAAGCACAGGTACCGTGATTATCTGCTGCTTCAGGGCTTCATAAACAGGCTAAACAACAGGGTAGTACAGCTTTGCGATTGTAAGCAGAACTGCCTTGATCTCATGCACTAAGGACTTCCAGACTTTGAGAAGAATACAGGAGGACAGCACAGTGTGAGAAATTATTTACACATTTCCTGCTGAGGGTCTTGCAAAGCCAATGGAAAAAGTAGTTCCTGTCACTTTGGCACCATATTGATGTTCTCAAGACACATGAAAACACTTTTAAAAGTAATTGCTGGGCCCAAACAGGACACTTTGTTATATAAGGGGTGACTTTGCCTTCAGGGATTGTTCCTACTAAATGGGGGGGGAAAGCAACAACAACTCTTACAAAATTCAGAAGAACACAACCAGTTCACCAGAAGTAATTGAAAGTGCCGATCTTTGTTAATTCATTGAGCTGTTTCATGGGTTTTCAAAGCTAAATGGTAGCTTCATTTAAAACAAACATTTTCTTAGGGGGTTCATCTTAAGGCTTAGCAGTGGAAACGGCACAATAATTTGAATTCAAAATGATGAGGAAATTACACTAAACAGTCCAACCTTGTAACCCAGATAGGAGACACTTTTTAGACCTTCCACCCTTTTTATATTTAAAGATAACCATCTCTGTGCACTCAACCTTAAGTGCTATCAGTTGTGGACGTAATGAAAACTCTTGAAGGAAAAGAGCTGCTGCCTTCTTACACAACCAACTCAATTGAAGTCATTATGTTGGTTTGAACAAAAGCATCTTCTCTGATGTGTGGAAGTTTACTTGCTTTCTGCCAAGCATCACTTTAAATGTCATTTGTGCTGCTTAAACAGCTGTCACGTTATGGATACAAGCTTTTCATTCTCCAGCATTCCCTAGGACAGTTTAGCCAGTCGGTAGATCAATTGTATCTACTGACATTATCTCTTACCTGAACCCTAATATCAAAACAACCTTTATTTGTGAGACCTCACAAATAAAGGTTGTTTTGATATTAGGGTTCAGGTAAGAGATAATGTCAGTAGATACAATTGATCTACCGACTGGCTAAACTGTCCTAGGGAATGCTGNTGTCCTTGTATGAAAGGGTGCAAAAGGGCTTGCTGGTTGGGTCAGTCACTCAAGGTCCCAAGGGCTGGTGGGGGTCTTCGGGCTCTCAGGGTTTGAAGACTTCAGAGAGAGGGAGAGGAAGAAACACAAGACAGAAGAGGAGAAGATACGCAGACGGCAGAAGAATTAAAAAAGAAGAAAACACGAATGAAGTAAGCACAAGAATCAGACGAGGCTCGGATACTCAGATCCCCGATATGCCAAGTCCAAACAACACACGCAGAGGCGAAGGGAAGTCGAGCAGATTAAAGATTAGAGGTGAGCGAGAAACCATCAGTTTGTCTTTCACAAAAAAAAGACCATGAACAAAATGTCCTTCGACCCCATTTCAGATTTGCACAAATAGATTCAGCAACAGGAAGAAGGAGGAAAGGGATGGAATAGGATGAGAGCAAGAGCACTTGAAAAGTCAACCGACAGAGGGAACGAGGTGGGGGCACTGGTGCTGGTTGGATCATTAACTGAGCGATGAATGTTCATTGTTAATTCATCGTTTACATCAAATCATTTTAAGATTTGCAATGTGGATTTTTTGACTGTTTTTATTCACGTATCTTGTTGCAGCTATTCCAATACAAAACATTAAATGATTTATGTATTGGTGGTTAAGGTTAGATTTAATGTAACTAATGTGCAAATATATGGCTCTTGATTGGAATGTGTAAACTTTAACCCCATCAGATACAAACTATATTCTTCAATAAGTGAGACTGATGGGTTCTCTGTATGTACTTGCCTCAGCCTGTACTTCCAGCGGGCATAATGTGTGTGCATGTTGATATGTGTGCGCGTGTCTGTCGGTCAGTCAGAGTGCCAGCAGCGAAGGCGAGTTCAGGGAATCAGACGACTGCTCGCTACTGCTGTTCCGCTGGTTGGCACTGACCCCGCAGGCTCCCTCTGGGTAGGTGAACACAAATGAAGATGTGTATGAGGTGTTGTAGTTGCCAATGGCCGCTTCGTCATGGTTACCACCACCACCACCACCACTGTCGCTGGCCATGAAGCACGGCCTGCCTGCTGCCGGCTCACTTGAGCCATAGAAAGAACGAGAAAACTCTACCTCCTGCATTATCCCTGGCGGAAGCTGCTGCTGGATCGGAGGCTGGGACTGTGTGGAGGCCGGATGGGCTGTGTAGGCAGGAGGCAGATAGAAAGAGTCTTCCCTCACAGCCAAGCCCACGATGGAGACCGGAGGTTGTAAGGTCACGGGAGGGAGCTGGAGCTGGACTTGAGGCATCTGCAACGAGCCCTGCTGTGATGCCTCCGTGTACGAGATCTTACAGGACGGCTGGTGGGCCACCAGGACAAACTCCAGACGCTCCTTCTCCTTCTGCAGCTCAGAGATCTCAGCCTCCAGCTCGGCCTTCTCCTCCTCCAGGATGTCCGTCTCCTGTGGGCATGAACAGAGGAAGAAAGAAAAAGGAACAGGAGGGTAACACAAAGGATGGTAGAGGAGGGAAGAAGATGTGCAGAAGAAAGAGAGAGAAAATGTGTTAGTTACTCCAAACCTCTACTATAGTGTTTGTGGGTGGATGTATCCATCCCAGCAAAAATACCTCCTTCACCTGCAGTTAAATATGTAGGTTGGTTTATGTAAGAGACCATTAATTAGTCCGTAAATAGTTTGTATTGAGGACTGTAATTTTCATTACCACAGCTCAACACCCCATTATCATAAACCATAATCTAACATGTCCACATTTATCAACACACAATGCAATGCGAGGGAAGGTAAAGTATGTAATTATGATCACTACTCATTCTGGTAGTTAAAACAAGGCCTAGCTCACCGACTGCAGTCTGTCTGTGAGATCTCGTCTGCGGTTTCTACATTTAGCGGCAGCCAACTTGTTTCTCTCTCGCCGAACACGCCTCTTCTCCTCCTCCTCAGGTGTTAGCTATGTTGAAGGAGAAAAAGATCAAACAGATTAAGATCAAAGTTTTATATTTTATTGAAAATATTTGTATATTGTGTTTGGACTGTGTCAGTGTGACAACACCAGCTGTGGTTGTCTTGAGAGCAAAATGCCTTTTTTCAAAAAAAAAGTTTCCTAAAAGTTTGGGCGGAAATGCTTATCCTCCCCCCACAGACCCCAACATATACCTGACCTTCTCTGACAAAACTTCATACTAGCATATGCATATGGTCAGCATTCAGTAGACTGGAAGTTACTCTTTTTATGCTTGTTACCTATGACCGTGAAAGTGTTTGTGCACACTACTGCTCATCAACACAGTAAACTGTGGTTGAATCTGATTGTTTTGACCCCAATGTAAACAATGTACCTATACTGTATGTGTAACATGTCAACAAACAAACAATTCAAGCACACACACTTACTAACACACCAACATCTCCATCCTCACTCACAGACTCCTCTCGGGTACGACGGCTGCGGGTTCTGGATTGGCGGATGGGGCCTGGAGCTGGGCCTTGAGTGTCTGAACTTGTGGGGTTGAATGCAGACCCTGAGGAATAACTGGGGCCTGGCATGTCATACGGGTCAACCAGTGACACTGGCTGGGTCATTGTTGTTGTCCCAGTCCCACTCAGGCCAGAGGCCTGGGAGGAGACGAGGGTTGGCTGTACCATCCACTGCAGATCCTGACTGGTGGTGATGGCGGTGACGGTGGGCACGAATGAACTGGGCATTTCCCCTCCGACACTGGTCCCTGGCCCGATGCCCACAATGCTCAAGCCAGCTCCTGCTGAGACACACTCCTGTGCAGGAAATGGAAAAACTGGTTTTAAACATCATCTTAAGCCGTAGGTTAGTAAACATATTCAGACAAACATGCGTAGAAATGCAGGCAGAAACAAGCTTCGATCAACTGCTTTCTTAAAGTGTTTGTCATATTTAATAAAAACCTATTGGAGCCACGCAAACCGCATTACAGGCAACTTAAATAACCAAATGCTGCTATCAAGGTTCCAATTGTTAAAAACCAATATATTTCAACTCAATTTGAATTAAGGACAAATACAAATGAATACATGAAATGACATAAAATTTTTGTAATTTATTTTTATAATATCCTTACATTTTAAATGTGGTGGATATTAATTATTAGCCTATTTTAATAAATCTTTTAAACTTCCTGCCCCTGTTTTGGTATAATTTAGGAAGCCTTTTGTAATACCTTGGTAAAGATCAGTATATTTGCTGGTTTTGAATCTTGAACTGTTTGTCTCACAATTGATATATTTTAGGCTTGTATAAATATACAATAAAGTTTAAATCTTTCGCTTGTGTTTTGTGTTTTATTTTAGATCAGGAAGGAGAAGGTATTGCATTAGTTAATGTTCATATAAAGCGTGATAAGACGGACAGGCGGCTCGACCAATCATCTCTCTCATAGAGCGTGGCCCCGCCTTCTCCCCCCTCCTCGTCACACCCCTGGTGTTTCCCTTGGCAACGCGACGTAGCACTCCAAAATAGAACAAGCATTTACGTCACGGCGAGGCTCCGCTGCTTACGTACGGGGGTTCCGTTCTGCGGTGTGCTGTAAACTGAGCACGTTGTCATAGCCTGAGGGCTGCTGCCGGGACTACTAGGAACAGATATACCTACTATATTAAGACTGAATTATATATTTAGCAAAATAATGTTTTATCTGAACACCCAGTGGCAGGAGCACCGTACGTTGTACGCTATTGATTTGTCTATTATTATGATAGCTTAGCCAGATAGCCTATGTCATAATGTCTCAACTACAAAACACATTGCTAAACTACCACAAGACCTGCTGTAGTTATGAATAAATGCAAATATAACAGCTTTAACATTGTTAAATGTATTGTTGCTATTATTTTGAATGTTGTCTTACCTGTGGAGCAACGGTGGTCCGTGGGCTTCCGAAGGAGTCCACCGAGGAAAGGTACTGTGACTCTATAGATGGAGAGGAGCTCCCACGGGATCCGCTGTCTGGGTCGCCGGGGAACCCTTGGTACATCTCCCCGGAGGGACCGAGAGAGAGCAGGACTCCCGCAGTGAGGTCTTCTGAGAGCGCGGGGTTACCTGCAATGGCAGGGCAGTCCCACACAAAAACATAACTAAAGGAGAATGATGTGACAGGCGTTGTGAAGTTAGCCCAACCAAACCTACATTGATAATGGATACAAAGTTGGATAAACCCACCATAAGTTTTAGCCTCATTGTGTGTGCATGAATAAATGAATCGTTGAAGAATATTCCTAAATCCAATTTATGTTATGCCTAACAACATGTTGAGGTATTTTGTAAAAGCAAAGAAAGCACGAAAGTATTTATTTGGTAATCTCTTAAGAAGCGAAAGATGTGTATCCTACTTATTAATGTTTCCGACCTACTTTTAGACTCCATTTTTTTTATCAAACACATAGACACATCGTCCATAAAAAAAATCAATGTTGACTTACCGTTGCTGATCTTTTTGCAATTTCCTGGTAAAATGCTCTTCCAAAAAAGTTGCATGAAGAAGCTTAATCCAGTTCCCCGCGTTTACGGGGAAGCGTCCCAATTCAATGTGTTAAAAGTCCTCTCGTTTAGCTTTAAATCCTCGAAGCGTGGTCCTTTATCCGCTCGTCAAATGTGCGATTATGTATCCATAAAGTCCACTCTATGTACGCTGGAGGACGTGAAAAGTGACCTGTTACGGTACACAGTAGCAGATCTGGTCCTATGAATGAATCCATCCTCGCGGAGAACCAGAGCCTTTCTAGAGGTGGAGTTCCTCTGACGTACATGCCCATATTTGGACCGAATGTTGTGTTTGGTATCCTTGGTGACGTTGAGGGATTCCCTCTCCCACAGAAATGGACCAGAAGCTCACCTCGCTGTCGGATAATAATAGATGTTTTAGTACTATCATAGGCACAAGATATTTCTCACCGTCTGACTATTTCTGAGAGGAAATTTTAAGAAACTTCGGTAAGATAAATTTGGAAAGTATCTATTTATGACAATCTATGCTGGAACATTATTTTGGGGCATGTAGGTTAGCCTACGTCAATACATTATAACAGTTAGGCTACTATTACATAAACGGAATAAATAACATGCCAAAGCCACTATAGTTTGTCTGAATCGAATACCAGGTTCGCTTTAGCAGCATGGTAAACAAGATATGGCTATACATTATAATGCAACACACACAAATGTATGTCCCTCTCTGAAGGAATCCTGGCAGGCATTCAAGGGAAACCCTCCTGTAAAGTTTCTCAGGACACGCCCTGGGGAGTCCTCTGAGTTTGAGGAGCTTAACGTAATGTGAGGAAAGACTCCTTTTCACTTGTGTCTGAACACGCCCTTTACATGGAGGCAGGCACGGTGCCAAGTAGCCTAGCCTTTATTTGCCACAGGTTTGCAACGCAGCATCAAACCTACGCTAGGCTATAGCACCGAATAACATACAATTTCAGATACATATTTAGTTGTAATAAGACTCTATGAAACAGAAGCAACAATATCCTCATTACAATGAACAAAAACATGAAATGGTAAACAGTATAACTCTATCATGGACAGTGGGCAGCAGTGACGGAAATCGGTTCCTGTCATTGCAAACATCACCCGTTGGAGCAGAAAGTGATTCATTATGATAGCCTACATGAGGACACAAGTGGGAATGTGGCAGCTGGGAGGCTGGCTTTGGTGGGGGAGCTTGCGGGAAAATCGGATGGCAAGTCATGAATGAAAATCTAAAATTCAATGTATTTTCGGTGAATGTCAAGGGGCGGGCATGCTGCTGTGTAAAGGACTACAGCTACTGCTCATGTGTGTAAAGGCATGAGCAAAATGGAAGAGTTGGGGATAACAGCCAACAGGTTATTAGTCAGCAGCACTACAACAACGTCACAGACGAGGATCCACGGAGGACGTGTGTGTCCCATCCGAGCTGCCGTTACCAGTGCCGCTGAACCGGCGATGACTAACTCGTTGATGTAAGTTGTTCATGGTGTGGAATTGTTGAGGTGGATAGCTGATAACGCAAGCAAACAGCCCACATTCATGGGGAAATAAATATACGATAATTCCACGACATTCCGGGGCGAGGGTATAAGAAATCACAGAGATAACTGGTTAATATCACCCTTTGCTGCTTAAAATACGTTTAGATTTAAGAGTAACACAATCAAACACGTGTCCATATCTTTATACAAGGCAAACATATCACAAACACTCACGTTAAACAGGTTTTCAGGCTAAAAGTAACCGGTACCATGTGCTATCCTCGAGACTGAGTGTGTGTAGCGTTGTTCTGTCGCCATGGATATGCTGTGCCTCTGACGTATACAATTTGGTCTTTTTTGTTATGCTGCCTGGCAACAGGTTTCCGTGGTAACCGGCTACAGCAGGAGCAGACAATATGGCTTCCGGATTCTTTCTGTGCTGGATATCCGAGGAAAGCTGAGTATACAACAGGCAGCAGCGACTGTTATTGTTGTTTTAGCACAGTTTTAACCGTCAAAGCCCGTTGCTCGTATCTTTGTAAAATCAGGGAAGTTACGTTGAACTAGTTAGCAGTTTACTAAAACGTTGTTTTGTACCATTTACTCGACGTGCTTGTGAAATGCTTCGAAACCATAGACTGTATATATCAAGTTCGAAGCGCACGGTAGGCCTACATGTTGTTGTTACTGTATCGCAGATGTGGAGGAGGATGGGCTACTCCGATGTTTTGCTCGTGGATAAAGTTAAGTAGAAGTTTGACTATTATACAATGGGGTAACGTGTACCATTTTTTTTAAGTAGCCCACAACAGGGGAAGTTATGTAAATATTCGACACTGCGAATGACATTCAATATGTTTATTTGAAGGTATTAGTGATTAAGATTCACCGATTGCATCGGTGCACCGGTATAAACGTTCAAGATGCGAGTGCACCGGTTGAAAGGGTGCACATCGGCTACAGTTTGGGTTGAACTCGCGATGCATCGATTGTGGCGTCTCTTTGCATTGGTACAACCCGATTAATTCATATATATAATATTATCCACTCATCCAATTGCAGCACTCTGCAGAGACGATCTTTGATCTTTGCTTCGCTACTACGGAGCCCGGGAGCTGCGTCAAAGTTATCAACAAACCAGAAAGTTGAAGAGAAAGAAATACACAGCGCACCGAAAAATAAATATAAAGCAAACGTTTGGCAACAGTTTGGATTTTTCAAACAAGACGGAGAACTTGACAAATCACAAGCTATTTGCAAACGATGCCGTGCCGCTATAAAGTACACGAGTAGCACAACGAATTTAGCGACGCACCTACAGAGGCGACAAGGGGTGGATAGTACGTCTGCGGCTGCCTCCCCATCCTCCTCGGATTCAGCTGAAGCTAACCCGGCTATCCCTGGCGGCAGCAAGACCGGTGAGCAGCATATCCAGGGCAGGCCCGGCTCCAGGATGAAATGATTGAGGGGGCTGTCAAAAAATCAGAGGGGGCGATTTTTTTTCACAACAACGAAAAATACTGGCAATGTAATTAATTGACACACCAAGCTTTTTTCCTTCTCACTGCTCTACAATCTCTTTGCTTCTTTTATTTTTATTCCGGATTTACCTCTCATTCTGTTCTTTTCCTCTGATCTTTAATAATAGATAGTACATTATTAGATAGCTGCACTTTGGTTAACAAACTAACATTGATTTCCTCAATGTATAAATTGACAGGCTCTGTAATTATACCATAACCTTTTATCCTATCCCTTAACTCGTCTTCCTATACAGATTTACTTACTTACTTACTATCTACTCTAGTGATGTCAGGATTAAAGAACAATTATTTTCAGGATTGAATGTTCAAACCAAGGCTTAAAACCTGGCACTTCATAAGAAAGTGACTAATATATAAAACAAATATAATATTGGATCAAATATTACACCAAATGGACAGACACAGATTAAAAATAAAGTCCCCTGGTTTGTCAGAGTCTAACTGCCAAGAGAAAAATCCAATCAATGTTCCAAAATCCGTCACTAGATGTCGCTCATTGTAGCAATACGGTTTATATAATACATAGGCCTAACATATTATTATTATTAGAATTATTATTATATTAAAAGGCCTCGCTTTTGCAAAAACCTGATCCATACAGGCATTGCAGCCCTAAATAATAACAAGTAACATCATGTGTGGTGCTATCTATAGTTGCCTGTCTTGTTTGTTGTTGATTTCATATTGTTTTCATAGAGCTGTGAAAATGAATTTCCCCCTGGGGACAATAAATCTAATCCAAACTAATTTAATATTCAATCCCACACTTGGCGATTGAGAACATAAATTCGTAATTTACCTCGTTTAAAGCACTTTTGTTGTAATACTATGGATTTAATTGACACTACCAAAAGTTTCTTTTGTCCAATATCTCGCGGGCAGGTACATTGAATTAGAAGAAGAAGAAGTAGGTAGAAGAAGAAGTGGTAGAAGAAGAAATACGCTAACGCTACAAAAAGGCAAAACACTGTTACTCTGTTTTTACTGACATGTAACGTTTTATTTCACCTTGCTCTATGTTTTTTAACCCACATTCAAAAACGGGAACATCTTCGGGAGTTTCAACCGGGTACCGGCCACCGAAAACGGGGACTTTTCCCGGAAAACAGGGACGTTTTGGTCACCCATCCGACTGTGTTTACAGCTAAGCACACATGCTAACATTAATTAAGACTACAAGCTCACTTGGGTTTGAGGCTTTTTTACACGTTTCTTCACTGCCTGCCCGCATACTGTATCTGATCTAAACATAGTAACGTGTATTGGGGAAGATAATTATTTAAAGTTATTATTTAAATTGTGACATTTATTGTAATTTTTGATGGATGAATGATGCTCAAGGTGAGGGGGCAAAGAATACAACTGAGGGGGCAATGCCCTCTTTTGCCCCCTCGTGGCGCCGGGTCCGATCCAGGGGTGAAAAGTTAGGACGATTCTAAGTGCCCGTGACTTACAGGGGCCCATACAAGTAACCAATGTGATATCTTTTCATGGGGCCCAAAATCTCTGGCGGCGCCCCTGACGGGCCCTACACAAGGCGGCGTGCGTTGACGCTTGCCGGCGGGCATGTCTGAAGCTAGACCAACAACCAATAACCTGAATCTCCCGCTACGCTTTGCTCCCACAATGCAGTTCGGCGAAGCGTGACGTCACCCCATTCAAAGTGAATGGGCAGAAGCGTTGAAGCGTCAACGCACGCCGCCGTGTGTAGGGGCCGTGAGTGTATGGCAACTTTTTTTCACGCTCCGCTGCAGTGGCGGCGCCAGAGATTTTCTTTTAGGGGTGCTGTGGGGTAGCTTGACGTTTCACAGAGGGTGCTCAAACATTTAGGGTTTTCCCTTAATCTACCGGGTGCTACACTTGAATTTTCTACTGCTACACTCCCCACACGCACATACATAGTATATATATTAGAATGAAGTCTCAATAATCAGCTCACGGCATATAGGTGTAAGCAGGGATAAAGGGCTATTTTTTTAAGTCGGGGGTGGACCTAATATCCTCAAGGGGGGGTCCGGGGGGCATGGTCCCCCGGGAACATTTTTTTTTTAATATTGAAGTTAAATGCATCCACCTGGTGCACTTTGAGAGCAAAATTAAGAGATCTATGGATACATCTCTCAACACCCATATGAAACAGAACTGGGCTTTTTCTTGGATATTTTACAAATCATTCCCCTTTTAAAGTGTATT